TAGAATAGAGTCCCGTTTTAATCCCGTTACTTTCATAAAAATTGTAAGCTGACAGTAAAGAAAAAAAAATAAGACATGTCATATGTCATGTCATATGTGAGTATAGTATATACTCGTATACATAGTATATACATTATATATCTCGCACATGAGTTCGTAGTATATATTATATACTATGAACTCATGTGCGAGACTTCTAACGAAATCTATATTAAATACGAATAGTTTACCAATATACATTACTATTAATAATCAACGATATTCGGTTTAATAGATATATTAGGTATATTAACCAAAAAATCGAACATAACATAGTTGTGCAATAACGTGTGTACATTGCAACGATCTTGTGTTATTAATGTTAAAGCCACTGTGTATCAGTTACTTTTATTTAAATTGTTATGAGTCGTTAGTGTTATTACTTTTATTGTTTTTTTAAAATGCCTAAAAGGAAATATATATTCACTGTACCTTTGCAGATTAACTAATGCAGTAATAGAAAGAATATTTTCAGTCACAAATATTTTATGGACGGAAGAAAAAAATCGTTTTCTCGTACCAACTGTCAAAGCAATAATAATTCTTAAAAATAATTTAAAAAAATATTACTGTAATTATATTTATGATTTTTTGTTAATATAACCAAAACTATTAAAAGTAATCAATTCATCAAAAAAGTATAATGTCAAAGGATGTAATGAAGAAAATTATGAACAATTGACATCAACTCAATAAAAATAAAGAATATTTTAAGTAATTTTTTTCAATCTCACAGCAAAAAAAGAATGCAAATCAATGTTTAATTAAAATATTAAACTAATTAAAAATTATTTTTAGTGCATATAATATAGAAGTTAAAAAAAATGTGGTCATTTTTTTAGAGAACATATTTGTCCCGTTTTTCTTTTTTCATGAATATGGTCACCTTACGCTAAACTATACTTTTATAAATATAATGTTCATAGAAGAATTATTATATTGTACTGATTTTCTCGTATTTTTTGAAATTACGTTATTGCCTCAATTATTACAGATTATATTTATCTTATTACATTATATGTTATTTTTATTTACTGATGATATGATGTGGAAGCGATTTCTGAACGATTGATGGTGATGACTCGGTTCGTCAAACGTATACCGGTATACCGCTTCCAATTCTTGATCGTTTCCTGAATTACTTGTTTATTTTAAATATAAATTTATGAATTAAATATAATTATCATTTTGTCATTTTAACGTTTTTTATAACAGCCGTTTATGTTATACTCATTTCGATTGAAATTTGCACATTCGATAATTTTTATATTATAATTAGTTGCTTGGAATTATTTTGATTATTAATACCGTAATACTCTGTGAATAACTTCTACGAGTATTGAATTTACGTGCTAAATGATTACACATTGTAAGTAATACGAGTAATATATATATATATATTTATTATTTAAACTAGGAAGCCGTATTACAATTAGTTTTTTAGTTATTCCAATTATGGTTCAATTCTTTTGTCATTTTTAGGCCACGTTAAATTGGGGTAAAAAAGATGAACCAGTATACGTTACCGAAGAGAGCGGTGTTGTGGGTTTAAACTTCCATCAGTCCAAGGAGGTGCTCTCGCAAGAGACGAACGGCGTAAACGCTCAACTAGCAGATATGCAAATGATGGAACCAGAATACGATTCTAGTTGTTGTGAGATCACAACTCGAGGAAAGACAAAGGCACTATTGCAAAAGAACTTTTTGAGAATGTGGAGAAATGTAGGGTAAGCTATAGACGTATACATTCAATGAAGGTTTATCTGTTGCATTTCAGCGTTATGTTATATTTGATTGCAGAACTAAAAAAAAATAATAATAAATAAATATCTAACGGTACATACTAAACAAACATTTAAAATTTCTTATACTTTTAATCAAGTAATAATGAATTCAGATTTCAAAATTTTTTGCCAGTTTGTTTCGATGAAATCCATTAACAATTTGCAATATTTCTGATTTAAAATCTTGCATATCATTGCGTACACTGAATAAATAACACTCGTCGATTTTTGTCTACGAATCGTTAAAAGTGTTTTTCAATTCAAATAATGATTGTCATATAAATTATTCACAAATAATTTACTATGCTTTCAGAGTGATGTTGTTCATATTTGCGCTACCTGTGATGCAAGTCATTCTCTTCTGTTTGGCTATCGGTAGAGATCCGACAGGGTTACATTTGGCTGTGGTCAACAAAGAAATGGACTGGACAACAATGGAATGTCCGATTTACGAAAACTGTACGCTAAGCAAGTTTTCGTGTAGGTACTTAAATTCTCTACCGAAAGAGACTGTAATCCTAGTGAGTGTTGAATACGTAATAATGTCTGGCCACAGAATAAAAGATAAATAACTCTGATTTTTAGGACTATTATGATACCCCCGAAAAGGCTATAGATGCCGTCAAGATCGGTGACGCGTGGGGAGCACTCTACTTCACAGAAAACTTTACCGACGCACTTGTCGCGCGAATGGCGTTGGGCAGGGAATCTGATGAAGAAACATTGGACCAGAGCGAAGTTCGGGTGTGGCTTGATATGTCGAGTAAATATCGTTTAATTATAATATCAGTTTTGAAACACAAAAATATGTGAATTTGATTGGAAAACTAATTAAATTGTACGTATTTCCACAGACCAACAAATCGGTTTGATGTTGAACAGAGACTTGCAATTGTCTTACAGAGACTTTGGACAAGGTCTTTTGGAGAGTTGTAATCAGAATCCAAAACTCGCCGACATTCCGATCCAAGTAAATTTTTTGTATTCTTCAATCAGTGTTCGAGTATAAATGTACATAATTTCCAAATGTATTTGTTGTTTCGTTTTAGTTTAAAGAACCCATATACGGTAGCAGTGATCCCAGTTTCACGGATTTCGTAGCGCCAGGAGTTATTTTAACGTGAGCATTATACCGTTCATTTGCATTTCCGTTAATGTTACACAGCATTTGTATTTTTAATGTTAATAATCACGTATTTTGTTTTCGTTATACAGCATCGTTTTCTTCTTGGCCGTCGCTCTCACATCTTCGGCGTTGATTATCGAACGAACCGAGGGTCTTTTGGATAGAAGTTGGGTGGCCGGTAAATATGATCATAATTCTCAACCTAAATGGAATATCATTACAGTTTGCGGAGTTTCCTAAGCAAATGTACCACGTTTGCGGCGCACACATATAATTCCCTTCTATTGTGCAGTGGTGAAAGCTGTACGAATATTTAGATATTAAGCTGTTCACCGCACAGTCGATAAAACGGCCAAATATTATGTTTTACTGCTTTTAATCTTGGCGTGAATTCTTGCGGTGGCCATAAAGTTACTGTAAATATTGATATTTACATAGGACGTTTGAATACTAAACCGTTTTTTTTTTCGTTTTACATAACTCAGACGTTCTCGCACATATTTACATTCGTATAGTAGCTATATCTATATTGAAGTGCTTACCATCCCTGAAAAAGTAAAAAAAAAAATAAAAAAACCAAGTCAAACGGAATAAAGGTTATTTTCTAATTCGAAAAAATATGTTTTACTTTGTATGCGTACTGTATTCATTGTTTGTATATTGATTACCAATGTATAACACTATTTAATGCAGAAGCTCCATAAACCGTAGTTTTGACACAACAAATGGTCAAACACGCTAACATTATCCTATTTATAAACTGACCACGAATGCATGACATTAATTTTGTATATCCTTTTCCTCGCAGGCGTCACCCCGTTGGAAATATTGTTCTCCCACGTCATCACACAATTCGTAGTCATGTGCGGCCAAACAGCACTTGTACTCATATTCATGATTCTTGTTTTCGGAGTGGAATGCAAAGGAGATATTACTTTAGTGATTGCGCTTACGATTTTGCAGGGTCTCTGTGGCATGTGCTTCGGTAAGTGGTCTCATAGTTGGAAATGTTCTTAGGAAATTGTATGACTAATTTTTTTCTTCTCAGGTTTCGTTATATCAGCAATATGTGAACTAGAGAGAAACGCTATTCAATTAGCCTTGGGAAGCTTTTATCCAACACTTCTACTCAGTGGTACGTGCATAATTTTTAATCTAATCAAATAAAGGTCAAACAATAAAAAACATAAAAGTCATTGTACTTTTGATGAACACTATATACATATATTACGAGCAAATTACTTGGGGTTCCAATTAACTACAAAAAAAAAATAAATATATATATATATATATATATATATAGGTACTAGAATATTAAATGTTTATTTATTTTATAATCTTATTTTACCTTCAAATAATTACATAAACCATAAGTATCAATGTCACTCTAACCTTCGACTTACACGCTGTTGCATTGATAGTAATTGTTAATTAATAACATTTCATTTATCAGTATTAATACTAAATACTCGACGCGTGGTACACACATAAAACCAATATGTTATCAAAATGTATGTTTAAAAATTGTATAAACATTATTTAAATGTACCGAAACGCAATCTTAAACTTTTTTATTTTTTTTTGACTCATACATAAAAGCAAACTAACGGAATAAAAATGAACTTTAAAACATTACATGTTTTTTTTTAAATAACTTAAATATAATGTATTTATTTTTATATTTTAACAATTTAAAGGTTTTAGGCTAGTTGTTCTAATAGATCTTTATTCATGTTTCATAGTAATTCGAAGATTTTTATTAAATACATACTGCTGTTATAAATTAGAATTTAGATAATCGCCTAAAAATATAAAATATTTTCTATAAAATATATTGAACGATTATTGTAACTCGATAAATATTTTATATGTTTTCGATAGAAACTGAATATTTCTAATAACAATATTGTCTACATTACATTTACCGGCAGCCTAAATTAAGTAATATTACTATTGGTTTGTAAACACTATTAGAATAAAATCATTCGTTAGTAAAATAACAATGATTTTTATTGAGACATTTACAAATGTAACACTTATTTGTCCCATACACCCCATTAGAACAAATTACTTTGAAATCAGGGTCAAGAATACTAGTTCTATATATTTTATTCCTCTGGTATATACAAATATATTTTTTTTTATTTTGTTCTGAATAACATAAAACTTGTCGTCTTTAAGATAAAATATTTATTTAATCTCATATATTTTACTAGAAACATAGTTTTTAAGTATAATATTTTCTTTTTGTTTCTTATGAATCTAAAAAGAAAAAAGGGACAACCCGCTTAATATAACGTATATATTCCATTTTGAGCAAATTACTCGTTTGGTATTTACTAAGCATTTTGTTTGGTGAAAAATAATAATTACCAATAGTTTATAGTTACATTTGAATAGTGCAAATGTTGATCTTGTGTGATTCGTATAATTTTTCCGAACTTCACTACCTACCGTATCTAATTTTATTTCATTAAAAACACACATAAAATTAAATAAGTGGATCCGAGGTAAATTAGCTGTACGAACGATCCCGCTGTTGTTTTCCTAACGATTATTATCAACGAAGGGGTAAAAATTATATATATGAAAAAAAAAAAAAAAAAACGAATTCCCGTACCTTAAATAATAATATTCCAGTAACAGTATGCTTCCACCGGATGAAAAACTGGGACGAAGATTTATTCGCAAAACTCGTAAGAGAACTACGCGCTGAGAGAGAGCGAAAGGATATGAGAAAGGATAATATCTGTGTGGGTGTGGATGGGAGGAAAGGATATAGCGCCGCTTGACGTGGAGTGCGTGTCCGAATATTATCGCGAACACCGCTCGTACAGCCTGTCCAAACCGAATTATTAACGATCCGACGGCCGGTACGAGGGGTTGGAGACGCGTAATCTGCACTATGTGCTAATTGGCAGTAATAACACACCGGACACGATGTCCTGACAAAAGCGTACGTTGAAGCCATACACACGTATATATTTATACGTAAATAATGATAATACGTGCCCGGTTATGCCATTAAGATTAACAGCACGTCCCCACGTACAATTGCGTATAGTTGTGTAACGCGCACGCGCTCGAAATTTCGAAACAAATGAAGTCGATTCTCATTGTCTCCGTCGCCGAGGTGTGCGGGTATGCGATGTGTGCGCGCAGTATGCGAGTACGTTCGCAAAGCGTTTTCATTATTCATCGAACGTTGGTCATCATGTAAATTGAACATTTACTTTACGTCGTCATCACGCGCATCGTTTATCCTTCCGACTGGATACGCGTACGCAGGGTCGTAGCAACCAAATATTACGCCCGGGACGAAACTTCAATACGTGTCCTTAAGTATTTTAATTTTTTAAAAATATTTTTTTATAAACGCAATATAAATAATGATTTTTCTTTATAGCTATGTAAGCGTTTCTTAATTTTATTCAAATCAATAACTTATTAAAATATAAATATACATTATAATTATAAGTAGGTACATAGGTATAACATAATTATATTTATAAGCTATACAAGTTAATATATAAATACATAATATTACTTTTACTTATAAGTAATAAGTTATAACTTTTAACAATTAAATTTCAAATTTTCCATTTTTGCACTCGAAGCAATGGCACCTTTAGCCGCCCCTCCTTGCTACGGACCTGCGCATACGTATTGTTTCACGCACATGAGCACGGAGCGAACTGTTTTTGCCATAAAAACAGTAGTTCAAAGAACAATTTTAAAGAAATAGTTCTCGACTATTTGTTATTTATCTGGCGAGCTCGACCCGAGATAGGTCCGAGCGAAATGTGTTGGTTAGTCAGGCAATTTTTTTAGATAAACTGATCGTCGGATCTTTATGAGACGATTCATTTCGCGAACGCGAACAAAATTAAAATGATCGGCGATCGTCTTAACAGTTCAGACGAGGGGATTAGTTCAGTGAGATGGTTCCGACTGTTTGATTTAATTTCAAGACGTTTTGTGACCGTAAGAACATGAATAAAACCATTTGTGTGTATGATATAGTCTCGCGAAAAGTGTAATAGCAAAAGAAATTCCAGCACGTTTAATCGGTGTCTGATATGTGGAGTGACATTAGAGGTAAAGGCAAAAACTCTTCCTCGTGGTTAACGAGTCTTGAGATTCTTTTTTTCTTATTCCGTGACCTACGTTAAAACATTTCACGATCGAATGAAAATACGAGTACTATATAATATTAAATATAACGTGCTGGAATCCTTTGGATGACTACTTCGAGTGGATTACTTGTATTTAAAATATTATCGAATTCTAACGATAAAAAAAAAAAAAATTCTGAATGATTTTGTATTTATACACGTGCACATTACAACAGGTCAGTATAATTCACACTTATCTGTTTTTGAAAGGCGTGTACCATAGGTGTTGCGAATATTTAAAAAATGCATTTATACACTATAATGTAATTATTAGAATCAATATGATAACAGAACCAATATGAATAAGACACGAACGAATATTAAAAGTTATAAGACTGATCGACCAATATAAAAAATGTTAAGAAAACTTAAATATTTTGACATTTTGCGTAATACTCTTAGACTAGTACAAATTTTTACATTTTAACATTTTTTGGTGTGTGATTACAAAATTAAATTTGCATTAAATAGTAATACAATTCTCAATAAAAGAATTATTATTTAAGGAATAAATTATTTTATAAAAAATAACCATTTTTGTCCTGATCCTAATTTGCACATGTCATCATAACACAGCCAACCCTGGTGGAGTGTTAAAAATATGGTGGTCATTGCAGGGTTGTACAATAATTGCGTTACGTAATTTGTTGGTTGAATGTTTGAAAACTTCAGTAGCATAGATTTCAGTATCTCTAAAAAGTTCATGCTCTTATGTTTAAGCTGTGTGCCTCGTGGTGAATTACGAATAAATATCGTACACAATGAATGTAAGGTGTAAACGTATAGAAAAGCTTTATCTTACGGACGATATTATTTTATAACATTATCGTAAACGGCAATTGATCGTCCTGTATATCGTTATCATTATTCTCTGCTATAACCCGATCGCACTATCACTGTTTCAGGTGTCATCTGGCCGGTGGAGGGCATGCCCGTCCTGTTACGGTACGTCAGCTACTGCCTACCCCTGACCATGGCCACGACCTCTTTGCGGAGCATATTGACCCGAGGATGGAACCTGCTGGAACCCGATGTGTACTTGGGCTTCGTTTCCACCATATCGTGGATCGTGTTGTTCCTGTCCATCAGCATGGCCGTGCTAAAGTTCAAGCGCGGTTAAGTGCATCACGTCTCTTCGCGTCGCATACCCGTAAACTTCCGTCACCGTCTCCCACTCCTCCGCATCCCACGTCTTTCCCCGTTTTCACAACCTTCCCCCAGATTCAGGCCCTGAATCCGGTTACCTGACAATCGTCCAACCTAATTAGCGGCAAGAGCGGATTCGCGGATAGCGATCGACCGGAAACGGTGAACGAAGGAGATGCAGGGGGATCGTTCACGGACCGGAAACGCGTGCGATATCGCTGCCCACCCGTGACCCTCTTTTCTATCCCCTTCCGTCCACGTGTCAAGACGATAAAATATGATTTATATATATATATATATATATATAAATAAATAATAATATTTGCTCAGTATATTCTTTTGTGACATAAATATTAAATTTACCGTCCAAAATTATTATAATATTATAATATGTATACATGTGTGTATGTATGTTTGTATGTCTGTGTGTGTGTGAGAGTGTGTACGTAAGTTGATGCATGTAGATATTGTATTCGTCTTAGACGTCTTAGTATACGTATAAATATAAATATATTTTTATGTATATATGCATAGGTTTTTTTTTACCCAGTGACTTTTTATTACCTAATTAGGATACAATTTAATATTTATATAAATATTATAATTATTATTATTATTATTATTATTTCTTAGATTTATATATTATATGTAATTTTTTTTATGTTATCTACATCACTTACACGTTTGAAAATAGTTTGAATCTGTACAACCGAAGGATTGCGGACCCTTTTAGCATAATATTACATTTTTTCCGTTCAAGAGGCATTATATGCATCGACATGAAATTTCATTGTAACAATAACGTGACATTGCACACTACCGTTGCAATGGGTCTTGTGTGCAAAATCAGTTTTTAGATGCAACGGCCGTGGTCTTCAGCCCTTCGATTCTCTATACATGTATTATTTTAGAATACATTTTGTGATTGGTGAACAATAGTTTTTGTAGTAAACCAATATGTTCGCTTACTCCGTATTACTTATTATATCGAACCTTGTCGTGTGTACATATTATTATTATTATTATTATTATTATTATTATTATTATTTTTATTAATATTAAGGTCGTGGAACATTAACGTTATTTTGGGTCCGATTTACAATCCGGTGCCTATTAAAAAAAAATTATAAATAAAAATATAAATAAAAAATAGCAAACAACAAACGTACTGTGTTCTTTTTATATGCTTGTGTTAAGACCATGAAAATGATTCTCTTCTATGATTCAATCACACTTCCACTGTGTCAACGTTCATTGTGTAATGCTCGTATAGATGACGTTTCAAATTTCACATGGTTGGATATTTTTGAATTAAATATTAAAATAAGAAAAATAAAGAAAAAATTATAAGTTTAAAAACTTTTTGAAATCATATACCTCGTTGAACTCGTTCAGGTCATATGGTTTTAAAATATTTTCGCGATATGTTCTGATTTTGATATGTTACAGAAACATTTGTGATCATTTGCAATTTCAAATGTCCATAATATTGTAATGTCCACACGGACCGTAATCATTAAATAGAACGCCGCGCGTGAATTATTTTTATTGCCATTTCGAAACTTACTCGTCAAAGGCCGCATTCGTTTCCCTTTGTGTGCAATACATCACCGCTCCTAATTCTGATCCTTCCCATTATACCGGAAGCGCACTAATCGAACATTTCAATTTAAAGCGGATAATATCATTACTGATAATTATTCGGGTGTTCTCGTTCGTCCCCGTACCATCGCATCGCAGTGCATTTGATCTGAAAAAACTCGACGTTTGACCCGACACATATAGTGCGACTACAATTCTGTTTCGTGGGAGTGTGGACCGGGTGAGTCGAAGAGGATGATGACGACGACAAAGACTGCGATCGATTGATAGGAGGGCTAGAGATTTCAAAACGCATTCACAGGAACGTTATATTCGTCTTCGCAGACTTCTCGGCCAGACGTAGTCGTCATTCGTATTATACGTGTATTAAAAATGTAATATTTTATTATTATTATTATTATTATTATTTTAGCTATTATTACTGTCGGAACACGCTGTGGCGCGAAAGACAGAGAGAAATATTATTATTATTATCGTGCATCGAAATTCGAGATTTTATACTTCCGATCTCCTCTGCCGCACGCGCACACACACAGCGGTCATAATGTACTATAAAAATATTATACACGCACAGTATATACCTTTCGTAGTATTGTTAGACCACTTGACCGAAACGAGATGATTTTTTTTAATATTAATGATTTTATTTTCTTGTAGAGATTTTACGTTCGAAATTATTTTATCATTATACGGTTACATGAGGCACATGTTGTTATTGTTTAAAATATTCAATTAATTTCTATTGTTACATTATTATTTTACTCAATTGTACACGTCATTGATCTATGTTATGATTACAAACGAAACAAATTTAATGTGTCTTATAATTGTAATTTATACTTATACTTATTGTACAATAATTTTAAAGTTGTTATTAGATCGGGTACTAATAATACGATTAAATATAACGACGAAAGATGAATATAATCGAAAAACCGTTCACAATAGCAGCGGTGTACACCGCATGATATAGTTTCGTAGATGGGTAAAGATACGTTACGATTAACATGTATAACATACAACTCGTCAAAGCACGACAAACCGTTTATTTTGAACCTGAAAAATTTGGTTTGATCGATTTCATCAAGTAGTGCCCAGGGTCGATCATGAGAAGATAACTTGTTTCGCTGTATTACTGAGCTATACTTGTTGTACCATTCATCTACTAGCAGTTCTTTTTTTTTCTTTTTTACTTATATTTTTAATATGTGCCTTATACTTTTCATAAATTTACAACCAAAATCCCGTACGATAAGGTGCGTTACCCTAGCACCCGCACTTTCGAAAACATGAATTGTAATCAAGCAGTATTATGTACTTTATTTTGTACAATTTTGTACAAACAAAATTAAATTTTGTACAACCCCCGAACCTCCCCGAAATTCAATTTCATTTTACGGGTGCTGGGGTAACGTTACACCAGCACCCGGATCAACTAATTTTCACAAATTTCAACTTTAAACCTTACAGTATTATGTACATTATTTGTATTCGAATGCTGAACCACGGGCTTATTGCAATATATACAAAAACAAAACCATTATGCAAATACATATTCTTTTGTGTTATTATTATTTGAGAAAACACTAACGACGACCGACTTAATGTTATAAATGAACAAATACGATGTAGCTTTTATTTGTTTGTATCGAAACGCATACTGTTGCTTATACGAATTAAATAAAAAAAGTAAAACTAAAAGACTACGAATATATCTAGATATATTTATTATACATACATGTATTTATGTATTTATAGTCGTATTGTATACATTTAAACGTGGAAAACAATTTTTGAATTTATATATATATATATATATACATATTTATATACATAAAAATAACCTTAACATTAACGTCCAAAGAAAAGTGCATCAAATCAAAAAACTGGCACTGTTAAAACAAAAATTGATAAATATGTATGAATTTTCAAGTCAGTTTAACTTTTATAGAACGAGGACTATATTCTCGGTATAAATGTATGTAAAAAAAATCCTCAATGGAAGGAGTGGTTAGGACCTTAAAAAATCCTTTCTTAATTATTAAATCCGACATGTTATATTACAACCGAAATTAATTCGTTATCAAGTGCTATTGCACACGTTTATTTATTTCATTAAACATGTGCCGGAGAAATACTACGTTATATTCTTTCTACGTACGGCTCATGCGATAAGCAGTTTAAGATTTCAAATAAAGTCACGTATAAATACGGGACGAACAGGGAACGATACTGAATCGTATTGTTCTGCAGTAGAAACAATATACGACCTGAAGGCGAATAAAATATTTACGAGCACATATTTCTATATACCATCCGGATGACTTATTATTATTATTATTATTATTTACGTTCATTTTCTCGTGTATGACAGAACTCAAAATCGAAAAATCAAAACAATAATATAACACGGGCGTAATATATTATTTTATAAGTCATGTACACGAGTGGACAAATGGCCGTGAACTTCCTGAGAATATTTGATTTTATCAAAACAAAAGAAGTTTGATGAGTTTGATAAGTCAATATAAATTATTAACACTTGATTATTTTATATTGTTATAGGTTTGTTATTATTATTTTTTTTTCATTAATTTTAATATTAATACATGTTTATATAGTTATATTTTGTTTAATTGATTATATTATTGTTTAATGTGTGTGTCCAACGTTAACCGTACTGCCAACGTATGCATCGCAACAGTATAGCCGAGGTAAGAAAAATTTTTATCGTAAAATAATTATGAAACAAATATTCGTAATCATACAATGCCGTAGCTAGAGGTTGGCGAAATGGATGGTTTCCAAGGGCGCAGAAAAGTAAGGAGGCGCATTTGAGTAAAATTGGATTATTTTGTGAATAAAATAAGCGCCAAAATAAAATTTTCCAAGGGTGCCACGTCACTGTAATGACAACGTTTAGTTATCGTTTATGCTCGACCATATTATTATCAAAAACGAATACCGTGTGCGTTTTTAGTTCAACGTATTTCCTAACAGGTACAACCCATGTATGATACCAAAGCCTTACAGTTTTTCGAATTAATACCCTCAAAAGTGTACAATACTTCTCAAGCATATCTAGACAACTCGAATCTGATGGATAATCAAAAATAGTCGAACCATCAAGACAAACATCACACCGTTTTAATACACCTGGGGAAATCTGAAATGTTGTGCCGAAATTGGAACCTGTACATTTTCGCGATTTCGTTAAATTATATTCCCGTCGATGAATACATTTACATTCTCATCGTTGTTCCTACATTTTTTGATTTGGCGATGCCGAAAAGTTTATAATATTTAATAACCATGTTGTCCGTTTTACGACTAAATGTTTACTGCGTATCGATATTGTAAACAAATAAACTGTATGTTTGTACATCGGTCGATCGTTGCTCACACTTAATGTTTGAGTTGTTTTGTTTACTTTCATCAGACGCGTCATAGACGATTTAACTTCGAATCATTTACATGGTGAAATTACGTTTTACGAACATTTCAACGTGGTACGTGGATATGTGCCTGGTATCAGATACATGTAAATGTAGTGTTTATTGTTCGTTTCGTTTTTAAAAAACGGATAAAAAATTGTCGATCGATTATACGCGTAGAGGGAAAAAAAGAAAAAGAAAAAAATATGAACCTTATTCAACCATTAGTATGGCACAGAAAATGCAGACCTCTGTGCATTAAAATGTTTGATCCAAGAAAGTGCCAATCACGAAGTCACTACGAGCAGTG